CTGGCTAATCATATGCAGAAAACTGAACCTGGACCCCTTCCTTACACCATATATAAAAATTAACTCCACATGGATTAAAGACTGGGTGATAGAGTGAGACCCTGTCTCAAATAAATAAATAAAGCATCACATTGTCTAAAATTGCACAGAATTGAAAATTATTATTCAGTTCATAATATCAAGCTTTCAAAGCAAAAATACAATTAACTGATCAGAAAAAAAAATCCCCCCAAAAAGAAACACTAATATAGAATTTAAAATTAAGGATAAGAGGGAATTATTTTATTTTATTTTATTTTGAGATGGAGTCTTGGTCTTGTTGCCCAGGCTGGAGTACACTGGCGTAATCTCGGCTCACTGAAACCGCCTCCTACCTAGTTCAAGCAATTCTCCTGCCCCAGCCTCCCAAGTAGTTTGGATGACAGGAACCCACCACCAGGCCTGGCTAATTTTTTTTTTTTTTAGTATTGATGGGGTTTTACCATGTTGGCACGGCTGATCTTGATCTCCTGACCTCAGGTGATCTGCCTGCCTTGGCCACCCAAAGTGTTGGGATTACAGGCGTGAGCCACCCCGCCTAGCCAAGAGAGATTTTAATGCATAAAATGTTGAATGTAACGTAGATATACTATTAAAAACAATTCCTTAGATATCTATACTTTTTAGCTGTGTGTACTCATGCAGAGCAGACATTCTTTATCATTGGCATTCAATGAATGGCAGCAAAATTTAACAGAAAAATGTGTAACAATCATTAATAGGCTCTAATGAGAAAATTTAATGAATAAATATTAAACGGACGATAGAAAAATTTCCTTACGGCCGGGAGAGGTGGCTCACGCCTGTAATCCCAGCACTTTGGGAAGCCGAGGCAGGCGGATCACCTGAAGTCAGGAGTTCAAAACTAGCCTGGCCAACCTGGTGAAACCCTGTGTCTACTAAAAATACAAAAATTAGCTGGGCGTGGTGGAGGGCACCTGTAATCTCACCTACTCGAGAGGCTCAGGCAGGAAAATCGCTTGAACCCGGGAGGCAGATGTTGCAGTGAGCCACGACTGGGCCATTGCACTCCAGCTCAAGTTACAGGGCAAGGCTCCATTAAAACAAAATAATTAAAAAAAAAACAAAAAACAAAAAACCAGCCTGGCCAACATAGTGAAACGCCTCTCTACTAAAATTACAGTCAGCCCGACCTCGTGGCGGGTGCCTGTAATCTCAGATACTTGGGATACTGAGGCAGGAGAATCCCTTGAGCCTGGGAGGCGAAGGTTGCAGTGAGCCAAGATCGCGCCACTGCACTCCAGCCTGCAATACTCCGTCTCACAAAAAAATAATAGTAATCAGGAAAGACCGAAGACCCCACGGGCCGCAGCCCCTCCCACACACACATCCAATAGAAATTCTTCACTGATGACCCGCCTGTCATCCCTGAACAATCTGGGGTATTTACTCGGGGCTGCGCGTGCAGAGCTGCCCAGAGAGCTCCAGACAGGGCGCCGCGCAGGGACAGGCGGGACCCGGGGGTCCTGGCTGCGGGTCCAGCCGCCATCTTCCGGCCAGAGGGGCCTGGGGCGGAGCTGCGTCAGCGAGGTCTCAGGTCGGTGACCCGGGAGCGGACCGTGGGGGGGTCGGTCCAGCTGGTTTCACAGCCCGCTTTCCTCTCTAACGATGCCAAACGCAGCACACCCACCGTTTCCCAGCTTCCAGGATGTCCTGGCATCTTAGCTGTGCTTCTCCCAGGACCTGCAGATCACAGGGCGACAGAGGCTGTGACGAAGGGGCTCCCCAGGTGCAGGACTCAGAACAGCAGATACGGACTCCAAGCTCTGGCTGAAGCCAGAGACAAAGTCCCCACCAAAGGCCGGAAGCCACAACCTGCCCACCAGCTACGCGCCTGATTAGGCGGTTCTGCACCAGCACCGGTTATTGGATAAAGGCCCAGGACACACCTCCCAACCCCAACCATTCCCCTATTCCTGCATTTTATAAACAGGGAAACATGTACAGGTAGGCAGGGTCACGTGCCCAGGGAATGACATCTAAAGAAGTGAGCTGAGGCTTGAAATGCACTTGCTCTTTCCCTTACCTGGGTCTGCCTGTACAACACATCTTAGCTATTTAAGGGTAAAAAGAAAGTTTGGACACCTTTTTGACAACTTGTTAATCATTTTGATACTGCAGGAAAGACCTTTCCCATCCCATCCCTGAGCCCTTCTCTCACCATGCTGCACCCCACTGCTGACCACATCGTTGGGGTGGCCATTAGGAATGGGGGGCAGTGGGGGCTGGGAATGGATAAGCATGAATTATGTTGGCCAAAGTTGCTCATCTTAGAAAGGCTCCTCAAGGCCGGGCGCGGTGGCTCACACCTATATTCCCGGCACTTTGGGAGGCAGAGGCGGGTGGATCACGAGATCAAGAGATCGAGACCATCCTGGTCAACATGGTGAAACCCCGTCTCTACTAAAAATACAAAAATTAGCTGGGCATGGTGGTGCGTGCCTGTAGTCCTAGCTACTTGGGAGGCTGAGGCAGGAGAATTGCCTGAACCCAGAAGGCGGAGGTTGCGGTGAGCCGAGTCTCGTGCCATTGCACTTCAGTCTGGGTAACAACAGCGAAACTCTGTCTCAAAAAAAGGGGCAAAATAATAATGATTGCCAAAATGGTAGCAAGTTTTCATTCCTCCTGTGTCCTTAACCATTGCCAGGTGCTTTTACAGCTGCTCTACCAAGATCCAGACTCTGTCTTCTGAACACTAGATCTGGCTGTTGTATCCGCTCAGGGCAGTAGAAACCAGTGAACATGACAGTGAGCTAGTTTGGGGCCCAGGCTTAAGTGGTCTTGAATGCTTCTGTTTTTATTTCAGAATGCTGCCATCTCCATAGGAAAAGCCTGTGTTAGCCAGCTGAAGAATAAGATATCACGGACAGGAGAACAAGGGGTTCCTATTGACAGCTCGAGAAGCAAGAAGCTCATTCCCAGAAACACAGCTGTTTAGTCAACAAGCAACTGATGATACATGTTTAAAAATGCTCAGCTGAGCCTAGAGAAATGGCCACATTGAGCCCAGCATGAATGACTGACCATCTGAATTATGAGCTAATAAATTTTGGATGGTTTGTTATGCCACAATGGCTAACCAATACATGCACCTGGTGTAGGTAAGATGCCAGGATTTAATGACAGGCTCAGTACTACTTACATTCTGACAGTGCACACCCTAAAGGTGCTGTTTTTTCCTCTGGTTTAGAGTTGGATGTCTTGTAAGGTAATACCGAGTAATGCAGAAATACATGTAGACATTTATGTGTGTGATTGGTGCTTATACCCACACAGTCCCCCACACCACAGGAGAAAACAGATAACCACAGCCAGACCATTAGGGCCAAGGCCAAATAGCAAAATCAGCTTGTCTTTAATCTGTTTTTTTTCTTATCTAAAACTTGGAGGTCAAGAGTGTGGACGGTTCTGAAGACACAGGGTTCTCTTCTCCTGTGGCCCCATCATCCTTTGTCACTGTCTGATTTCTAGAAGGAGGGAGGGCAACAGGTGGTCAGCAGTGGTCTACATGTGGTTATTTTATTCCTCTTGCCCTCTGCTCTTTCTATGGCCACTATCTGTTCTACCCCCAGAACTGAAGAGAGATGTAGGCAGGGAGAGGCTGTCCCCTCATCTCTGGCAGAAAAGGGACGTTCAGGCCATTGACCCTCCTGATGTCAGAGCTGCACTTCAGTGTAGCAGCTATTGGCCATGTGTTGCTATTGGGTGCCTGGAATGTGCCTGGTCTGAACTGCAGTGTCCTAGAAAGGTGAAATATGAGTTAGTTTCAAAAGTTTTGTTCCAGATATATATATATATCTCCAGATATATATATATGCATATAATTAATAATTACATGTTTCTCACTTATTAAAATGACAATATTTTGGATATATTGAGTTTAATTGTTATAATCCATTTCACCTGTTGTTTCTTTTTAAAGCTTGTCTACTAAAAAATTTAAAATTCACACGTGGCTCACCTTTTATTATTTCATTTGATTTATCTAATGTATTTTTTTTTTTTTGAGACGGAGTCTTGCTCTGTCGTCAGGCTGGAGTGCAGTGGCCCAACCTTGGCTCACTGCAACCTCCGCCTCCTGGGTTCAAGTGATTCTTCCGCCTCAGCCTCCCGAGTAGCTGGGACCACAGGGGCGCCTGGCTAACTTTTTTTTTTTTTTTTTTGAGACGGAGTTTCTCTCTTGTTACCCAGGCTGGAGTGCAATGGCACGATCTCGGCTCACTGCAACCTCCGCCTCCTGGGGTCAAGCAATTCTCCTGCCTCAGCCTCCTGAGTAGCTGGGATTACAGGCACGTGCCACCATGCCCAGCTAATTTTTTGTATTTTTAGTAGAGACGGGGTTTCACCATGTTGGCCAGGATGGTCTCGATCTCTTGACCTCGTGATCCACCCGCCTCGGCCTCCCAAAGTGCTGGGATTACAGGTGTGAGCCACCGCGCCCGGCCGATCTAATGTATTTTTGAATTTTTTGAGACCGAGTTTTGCTTTTGTGACCCAGACTGGAGTGCAATGGTGTGATCTCAGCTCACTGTAACCTCTGCCTCCTTGGTTCAAGTGATTCTCCTGCCTCAACCTTCCAGGAGCTGGGATTACAGGCGCCCACCACCACCTGCAGATAATGTTTTTTGTATTTTTATAGAGACGGGGTTTCACCATGTTGACCAGACTGATCTCGAATTCCAGACCTCAGGTAATCCACCCCCCTCGGCATCCCAAAGCACTGGTATCACCGGTGTGAGGCATAGCACTCGACCTGAGTCGAGTTTTATTTTATTTTATTTCATTTTATTTCAGAGGGTTTCCATCTGTTTAAAATCTCAGGCTGTCTGCTCAAAGGACTAGAAGCCAGGAAAATCATAAAATTTAAAATTTTAGAACAATTGTTATCATACTCTTTTAATTCGAGAATAGCCATATAGCATATTATTTACAGGTGCATGTGACCTTATACACAAGGTTAAAAGGCAAACATCCTCTGGGGTGAGCTTGGCTCAGCTCAGGAAGGAAGCTCTACCTGAGAAGGCTGCAGCCTAGGCTGTCACTTCATTCAGCCCAGCATCTGATCACTTCTTCTGTCACTCAGGACCTGAAGGGGCGGGCCTTAAACATTATCCAATCAGGGACTCTGAGCTTGAGGTAGCTCAATCAGACACGCAGCTGGAGCGGACAGGACGGCGTCCGGGTTTGGCTGGGCCTTTGCCTCTCCCTGCAGCGGGAGTTCCAGGTCTCGTCATCACTGCTGTGTCCTTTTCTTCTAGAGGCTCATCCTGTGTGGCCCTGTGACCTGCAGATATTTGGAGATCCACAGCTAAGATGCCAGGAAGCCCTGGAATTCTAGACATGGTGAGAGTGCCGAATCAGACATCCCGAGAGAGGGGAAGGGGCTGGTTGGAACCAGTAGGAAATGGCTGTGGCAGGACTCAAGCCTCCCCACAGTCAGCTCCACAGTCTGCTCCCTGAGTTCTCCTTGTCTAGCGCAGCCTCTCCCCTTCAGCCATAAGATGGCGGCTGCGCTGACAGCAGCGGTCCTGGGTGTCTTGTTTCTGCCTTGCGCAGTTGCTGTGTCTTGGTCTGGAGCCCTCTCCGGGGCAGCTTTGCACCCGCAGTGCTGCGTCTCTCCCAGATTGTGCAGGGACCACGGGAGGGTCCTCAGGGGAGAATCCTGACTTGGGGTGTGGGATGATGAATGGGAAGAGCTTTGGTTCGTGGGGTTTTCAGTTTCTATTTTCTCCTGTTAAAAATCTGTGGCAGTCATTGCAAAAATATTAAAGAATTTAATCAAAGAACGATTCCGTAATTTTAGAGCACCCGGTATGTTTTGTAGTTTGTGGTTTATGAGAGGAGCTTGAAGGAAAGACTTATAAGGTGCATGATGACGAAAACCATATTTAACAATTGGTTAGGTACAGTTACATAGTAGTTTCTTTAAGTAGGGACTAGAGCTTCCTTAGTCTAATCGCCTGCCACTTAATTATTCTCACACTTCACAGGGGATTGATTTTCCCTGCATTTTTCACATGCTTGTGTTTCAAGCAGGGTCTCAAATGTACCTCCCAGGACCATTCCTCCAGCCTAACTCTGGCCTGCAGTTAAACTGTAAAAAAACTAAAATACTAAATTCAGTTTCTTCTGTCATTTCTAAATGCCAACTTTTCTTTCCTAATTTCCATTATCAACTGTTTTTCCTTTAGTGTACAGTTTTGATACTGTATTTTAATTATTTTTGACAAAGCATTAAATGGCACTTAACATTGTTTTCTGTTTGAAAATATTTCCCATGAGAAGAAAGCAAAAAATGATTCCCTGACACTGTATTGCACAAAATTTCTAAGCCTTTTTTTTTTTTTTTTTTTTTTTGAGACAGAGTTTTACTTTTGTTGCCCAGGGTGCAACGTCTTGATCTCAGCTCATCGCAACCTCTGCCTACCGGGTTCAAGCGATTCTCCTGCCTTAACCTCCCGAGTATTTGGGATTACAGGCTCGCATCACCACGCCTGGCTTTTTTTTTTTGTATTTTTAGTAGAGATGGGATTTCTTCATGTTGGTCAGGCTGGTCTTGAACTTCTGACATCAGGTGATCTGCCCGCCTCAGCCTCCCAAAGTGCTGGAATTACAAGAGTGAGCCACCGTACCTGGCCTTTTAAAAAAAAAAAAAAAAGAAAGAAAGAAAGAAAAACTCTTCCTGAGGCACAGAAATCTTAGAATGTTTTTGGGCACAGTTTTTCTTTAGAAATTTTATTTTTTAAAGTTTATTTATTTGTAAATATTTCAGCATTTATTTTAAGTAGTTGAACAATAGATGACTTTTATTGTTGATTTATTTTTATTTTAAATGTGTTTGTTTCATAATACTCTATGTCTGGGGTTCATGTGCAGATTGTGCAGGTCTGTTACATAGGTATACACGTGCCACTGTGGTGGTTTGCTGTGTCCATCACCCCATCATCTACATTAGGTATTTCTCCTAATGCTATCCCTCCCCAATTCCCCCACTTCCTGCTATTTCTCCTCTAGTCCTCCACCACCCAGGCCCCGTTCTGTGATATTCTCCCCTATGTGTCCATGTGTTCTCATTGTTCAGCACCCACTTATGAGTGAGAACATGAGGAGTTTGGTTTTCTGTTCTTGTGTCAGTTTCCTCAGAATGATGCTTTCTATTTAGGGACATGAACTCATTCTTTTTTATGGATGCATAGTATTCTATGGTGTATATGTGCCATGTTTTCCTTGTCTAGTCTATCATCGATGGGCATTTGAGTTTGTTCCAAGTCTTTGCTATTATTGTAAACAGTGCCACAATAAACATATGTGTGCATGTCTTTATAATAGAGTGATTTATAATCCTTGGGCATATACCCAGTAATGGGATTGCTGGGTCAAATGGTATTTCTATTTCTAGATCCCTGAGGAATCGCCACACTGTCTTCCACAATGGTTGAATTAATTTACATTTCCACCAACAGTGCAAAAGTGTTTCTATTTCTCCACATCCTCTCCAGCATCTGTTGTCTCCTGATGTTTTAATGGTCACCATTCTAGCTGGGGTGAGGTATCTCAATGTGGTTTTGATTTGCATTTCTCTAGTGACCAGTGATGATGAGCTTATTTTCCTATGTTTGTTGACTGTACAGATGTCTTCTTTTGAGAAGTGTCTGTTCATATCTTTTGCCCACTTTTTGATTGTTGTTTGTTTTTTCTTGTAAATTTGTTTAAGTTCTTTGTAGATTCTGGATATTAGCTTTGTCAGATGGGTAGATTGCAAAAATTTTTTCCCATTCTGTTGGTTGCCGGTTCACTCTGTTGATAGTTTCTTTTGCTCTGCAGAAGCTCTTAAGTCTAATCCAATCCCATTTGTATATTTTGGCTTTTGTTGCCATTGCTTTTGGTGTTTTAGTCATAAAGTCCTTGCCTATGCCTATGTCCTTAATGGTATTGCCTAAGTTTTCTTCTAGAGTTTTTATGGTGTTATGCCTCATGTCTAAATCTTTAATCCATTTAGAGTTAATTTTTGTATAAGATGTAAGGAAGGGATCCAGTTTCAGCTTTCTGCATATGGCTAGCTAGTTTTCGCAACACCGCTTATTAAATAGGGAATTCTTTCCCCATTGCTTGTTTTTGTCAGGTTTGTCAAAGTTCAGATGGTTGTAGTTTTGCAGCATCTTTCTGAGGCCTCTGTTCTGTTCCATCGGTCTACATCTCTGTTTTGGTACCAGTACCATGCTGTATTGATTACAGTAGGCTTGTAATATAGTTTGAAGTCAGGTAGCATGATGCCTACAGCTTTGGGGTTTTTTGTTTTTGTTTTGCTTAGGATTATCTTGGCTATGCAGGCTCTTTTTTGATTCCATATGAAGTTTAAAGTGGCTTTTTCCAGTTCTATGAAGAAAGTCATTCATAGCTTGACGAGGATAGCTTTGAATCTACAAATTACCTTGGGCAGTAAGGCCATTTTCACAATATTGATTCTTTGTAACCACGAGCATGGAATGTTTTTCCATCTGTTTGTGTCCTCTCTTATTTCCTTGAGCCAGTGGTTTGTAGTTCTTCTCGAAGAGGTTCTTCACATTCCTTGTTAGTTGTATTCCTAGATATTTTATTCTCTTTGTAGCAATCGTGGATTGGAGTTCACTCATGATTTGGCTCTCTGTTTGTCTATTATTGGTGTATAGAAATGCCTGTGATTTTTGCACATTGATTTTGTATCCTGAGACTTTACTGAAGTTGCTTATTAGCTTAAGGAGATTTTGGGCTGAGACCATGGGCTTTACTAAATATACAGTCATGTCATCTGCAAACAGGGACAATTTGACATCCTCTCTTCCTCTTTGAATACGCTTTATTTCTATCTCTTGCCTGATGGCCCTCGCCAGAACTTCCAATACTATGTTGAATAGGAGTGGTAAGAGAGGGCATCCTTGTCTTGTGCCAGTTTTTGAAGGGAATGCTTCCAGTTTTTGTTAATTCAGTATGATATTGGCTGTGGGTTTGTCATAAATAGCTCTTATTATTTTGAGGTACGATTCATGGATACCTAGTTTATTTAGAGTTTTTAGCATAAAGGACTGTGGAATTTTGTTGAAGGCCTTCTCTGCATCTATTGAGATAATTTGGTTCTGTTTATATGATGGATTACATTTACAGATTTGCGAATGTTGAACCAGCCTTGCATCCCTGGGATGAAGCCGACTTGATCATGTTGGATAAGCTTTTTGATGTGCTGTTGGATTCAGTTTGCCAATATTTTATTGAAGATTTTTGCATCAATGCTCATCATGGATATTGGCCTGAAATTTTTTTTTAGTTATGTCTCTGCCAGGTTTTGCTGTCAGGATAATGGTGGTCTCATAAAATGAGTTAGGGAAGACTCCCTCTCTTTGTATTGTTTAGAATAGTTTTAGAAGGAACGGTACCAGTTCCTCTTTGTACCTCTGATAGAATTCGGCTGTGAACCCATCTGGTCTTGGACTCTTTTTGGTTGGTAGGCTATTTATTAATTGCTGCCTCAACTTCAGACCTTGTTATTCATTCATTCAGGTATTCAGCTTCTTCCTGGTTTAGTCTTGGGAGGGTGTAAGTGTCCAGGAATTTATCCATTTTTTTCTAGTTTTACTGGTTTGTTTGCATAGAGGTGTTTGTAGTAATCTCTGATGGTAGTTTGTATTTCTGTAAGATTGGTGGTGATATTCCCTTTATCATTTTTTATTGCATCTTTCTTTGGAAACTTTATGTTAGAATGTTGTGTCTTCAGCCCCCCCACTTTAGTTTTTTCCCAGTCTTGGGTTTCAGTAAAGTCTTGGGGTAAACCAAGATACACACCATGACTTTTTCTGCCAGAATATCTAGTGCATATCAGCTCCTGGGTCATTTTCTCTCTAAGGACAACCTGAGGTATGGAGTGTAGCTTCTCAAGGGAGCAGGTGGATGCCCTGGGGCTGAGAGGCATCTCGTGGCATACTCTTCCTTTGAAAAACTAACCCCTTGAGATATTAAGGTTGTCTTCACCCAACCCGGCTTCCATTTCTGGGAGACACATTGCTGGTCAATCAATCACATGCTGGTATTGAGGGGAAAACACAGGAACAATTCCTGCTCCTTGAATTCTCTAAATTTTATTAAAAAACAAAACAAAACCCCTGACCCAAGTGAGATGGTTGCAAGAACTAGCAAGGTAAAATGCACCTGGGGCGTAGTGTAGTGTCTCCTGAGAGAGTGGTTATTGAGCACTTACGGTGAGCAGAATGGGGTGGGTGAGTATCTCAAGCGGTTGAATGGCCCAACTTGACAAATGTATCAGACACATCTGTTTCCTAATTAGCACGACCACTCCCTGGGGTTGTCACCTTGAAAAAGTTTGTTCACTTACTTTGACTTTCATTATTTAACTGTAAACTGTATTTTATTAGGACTTGAAAGGTAAGAAACGAGCATAAAAGAGGTGGGTTTCAGAAAAAATATCTAATCATGTATTTTATTTGTGAGAAATTTCATTTACCTATTTTTCTTTTTCTTTTTTTTTTTTTTTTTTGAGATGGAGTTTCGCTCTTGCTACCCAGGCTGGAGTGCAATGGCGTGACCTCGGCTCACCACAACCTCGGCCTCCTGGGTTCAGGCAATTCTCCTGCCTCAGCCTCCTGAGTAGCTGGGATTACAGGCACGCGCCACCATGCCCAGCTAATTTTTTGTATTTTTAGTAGAGATGGGGTTTCACCATGTTGACCAGGATGGTCTCGATCTCTTGACCTCGTGATCCACCCGCCTCGGCCTCCCAAAGTGCTGGGATTACAGGTGTGAGCCACCGCGCCCGTCCCATTTACCTATTTTTCTTTTCTTTTTTTTTTTTGAGACTGAGTCTCACTCTGCTGTCGTGCAGGCTGGAGTGCAGTTGCATGATCTTGGCTCACTGCCACCTGTGCCTCCCAGGTTCAAGCAATTCTCCTGCCTCAGCCTCCTGAGTAGCTGGGACTACAGGCTCATGTCACCACACTCAGCTAACTTTCTTGTATTTTAGTAGAGACACGGTTTTGCCATGTTGCCCAGGCTGGTCCTGAAGCTCTGGCAGTCTGCCGGCCTTGGGATCCCAAAGTGCTAGGATTACAGGAGTGAGTCACTGTACCCTACCACTTTTTTCTTTTTCTTTTTTTTTTTTGGAGACGGAGTTTTACTCTTGTTACCCAGGCTGGAGTGCAATGGCACGATCTCGGCTCACCGCAACCTCCGCCTCCTGGGTTCAGGCAATTCTCCTGCCTCAGCCTCCTGAGTAGCTGGGATTACAGGCACAGGCCACCATGCCCAGGTAATTTTTTGTATTTTTAGTAGAGATGGGGTTTCACCATGTTGACCAGGATGGTCTCGATCTCTTGACCTCGTGATCCACCCGCCTCGGCCTCCCAAAGTGCTGGGATTACAGGTGTGAGCCACCGCGCCCGTCCCATTTACCTATTTTTCTTTTCTTTTTTTTTTTTTGAGACTGAGTCTCACTCTGCTGTCGTGCAGGCTGGAGTGCAGTTGCATGATCTTGGCTCACTGCCACCTGTGCCTCCCAGGTTCAAGCAATTCTCCTGCCTCAGCCTCCTGAGTAGCTGGGACTACAGGCTCATGTCACCACACTCAGCTAACTTTCTTGTATTTTAGTAGAGACACGGTTTTGCCATGTTGCCCAGGCTGGTCCTGAAGCTCTGGCAGTCTGCCGGCCTTGGGATCCCAAAGTGCTAGGATTACAGGAGTGAGTCACTGTACCCTACCACTTTTTTCTTTTTCTTTTTTTTTTTTTGGAGACGGAGTTTTACTCTTGTTACCCAGGCTGGAGTGCAATGGCACGATCTCGGCTCACCGCAACCTCCGCCTCCTGGGTTCAGGCAATTCTCCTGCCTCAGCCTCCTGAGTAGCTGGGATTACAGGCACAGGCCACCATGCCCAGGTAATTTTTTGTATTTTTAGTAGAGATGGGGTTTCACCATGTTGACCAGGATGGTCTCGATCTCTTGACCTCGTGATCCACCCACCTCAGCCTCCCAAAGTGCTGGGATTACAGGCTTGAGCCACCACGCCCGGCCCACTTTTTTCTTTCTTAGAGTAAGTTTAGAAATTTTCTTAGGCTTTTTTGTGAGTATACGTGTGTGCGTGAGCCAAAGATTTATTTTTTCTTGTATTTGAAGTACTCTTCAACAACATCCTTGGCCTGAGATTCCTTGCAATAATCCTTAACTACTACACAACTCCAACCAACACTTTACGGATTTTCCCTCTGTCAGTTTTACAAAGGCCTACACATTCCCCTAGGTTTTTTGTTGTCATCAATCTTAATTAGGTAGATTTGGTGTTCAGCACAAAGGGCCTCAACGCACTTGGCAGACATAAACTCATCACAGTTGCATGCAAGCACACAAAGATGAGCTGGGCGCTTGTCTAAGGCTTTGGCAGCTTCTCAGATTCCACCTGCTAGGCCATGGTGGATGAGGGCCGTCTTCAGCACCTCTCGTAAAGCAGTATTCATGTTTATTATACCTCCAGCAGCAATGCCTTCCTTGGCCATGGTGGTGGGTTACGGATAAAGCCAGATCTTGAATGCACCCGAGCCTCTGCCTCTGCACTACTCAACAATGGCAGGGAGTGTATATATATATATATTTTAATAAGAGTATATATATATATATTTTTTTAAATAAGGATTTGTGGTCTTATGACCCAGGCTGGAAGGCAACTGCACGATCTCAGCTCACCACAACCTCCACCTCCCGGGTTCAAGCAATTCTCCTGCCTCAGGTTCTTGAGTAGCTAGAATTACAGGGGCACACCAACATGCCCAGCTAATTTTTGTTTTGTTTTGTTTTGAGACGGAGTTTCGCTCTTGTTGCCCAGGCTGGAGTGCAATGGTGTGGTCTCGGCTCACCACAACCTCCGTCTCCTGGGTTCAAGCAATTCTCCTGCCTCAGCCTCCTGAGGAGCTGGGACTACAGGTGCGTGCTACCATACCCAGCTAATTTTTGTATTTTTAGTAGAGACGGTGTTTCACCATGTTGACCAGGATGGTCTCGATCTCTTGACCTCGTGATCCACCCGCCTCGGCCTCCCAAAGTGCTGGGATTATAGGCATGAGTCACTGCGCCCGGCCAATTTTTTTATTTTTACTAGAGAACAGGGTTTTACCACATTGGCCAGGCTGGTCTCGAATTTCTAATTTCAAATGTTCACCTGCCTTGGCCTCCCAAATTGCTGGGATTACAGGTGTGAGTCACCAGGCCCAACCTATGATATATATTTTTATACATATATATATTTAAGGATAACTATATATATTATATTTATAATATACGGTGCGTATGACTTTGTACACAAGGTTAAAGGCAAACACCCGCTGTCTCTCTCTGTCACCCAGGCTGGAGTGCAGTGGTGCAATCTTGACTCACTGCAAACTTCACCTCCTGGGTTCAAGCAATTCTGCTGCCTCAGCCTCTGGAGTAGCTGGGATTACAGGCACGCACCACCATGCCTGGCTAATTTTTGTATATTTAGTAGAAGCAGGGTTTCACCGTGTTGGCCAGGCTGTTCTTTAACTCTGACCTTGTGATCCGCCCACCTCAGCTTCCTAAAATGCTGTGATTACAGGCAGGTGCAACCATGCCAAGCCTACATGAGTAAGTTCTTTAGTGGTGATCTGTGAGATTTTGGTGCACTCATCAGTGGAACATTACACACTGCACCATATTTGTAGTCTTTTATCCCTCACCCCTTCCCACTCTTTCCTCCAAGTCCCCAAAGTCCACTGTATCATTTTTATGCCTTTGCATACTCATAGCTTAGCCCCCACACATCAGAACGTACCATGTTTGGTTTTCTATTCCAGAGATAATTCCTGAGAGTAATAGTCTCCAGTCTCATCCAGGTCACTGCAAATGCTGTTAATTCATTTTTAATGGCTGTGTAGTATTCCATCATATATATGGAATTCATAATGGACGGCAGTTATCAGCACAACACAAACAGTATCAGGCCCCATTAAGAACCGTAATACAAGCTGCTGTTTCCCAAGGCCCGTTGTTTCAGGCAAAGGGCACACTGAACGTAAAGCTCTGGGAGCAAGTTAAGCGGGGAGAAATTAGCGCAAATGCATGCAGTGAGTAGGAAAAAAGGCAAAGGAAATGCTACAGCCATAGGCCCTTGTCTTAAGCAAGCAGAATTACAGAAGAAACTCCTAGCCTGCCCAGTGACTGGTGATCAGCAAGGCAATGGGGGTATGTTTATTGAAGGATAAGAAAAAAGGCATTGCAGGATGGAGCCACATGGCAAAGCAAAAGAAAAAAAAGAGGAAAAAAAAGGCTCTGGCAGAGAAGCTCCCCACAGGCCTCAACTGCTGAAGGGGGCAGGAGGGAGCAGCAGTAGTGGAAAGCAGAGACAGCACCAGGGTGGGCCCAGCAAGGCTGCCATCCCCGGACCTGACTGCCTCTGCTGCTGCTCTCCACAGGTGTCCCACAGTAAAACTTCATGTGTTCTTTGTATACAAGCAATATCCCAAATTGTAATTCTCTGCTAAGATTTAAGGAAAATTTAAGGATTTGTAAGACCTTTTTCTGATATTAGCCACAGTTGGTATTCTGTTGCAGAGTATTTGAGGAGACCGGAGAGACCAATGTGTGAAACAGGAGGATTTTATTTGGGTGGCCTCCAACTCAGCAGATTAGCGTCTCAATACTAAGTGCCTAACAAAGACTGGGCTTGGCTCTTTATACGTGAAGTACCCAGAGGCTCTAAAACAAGTTTGCAGGCGTAGAACAAAGGCAATTCATTAGCAATGATAGGCACCTAACTTAGGCTTACATTATGACTGTTGCTGTGTGACCCAGATGTTCGCTATCTGTAGAGCTCAAGGATTCTAGCAGGGGCCTTAGCTATTCCCTTCTGCTACAGTGCCCAGAAAGCCAGAGTCCTGCCTGCTTGGGCATTTCTCATGACCTTCACTGTGTTACAGAAACTTACACTTATCAGCTATAGAAAAGAAGAATACAAGAATTTATAAACTTATAAACCTTGCGTAGCAGGATACAATCTTATGGGAAGGGGAAGGACTCGGAGATGTTTGCTTATAGAAAAGAAGAAAAATTTAATTTTTTCTCTCCTTTCCCAAACTAATTCCAACTCTGCCCTAAACATGGCTGTTTTGAAATCCAATTTAAGTAAAACAGTAACCTCTGAAGGGAGAGAAATTAGAGCTGGCCCATGAATTAGTGAGGAGCAATTAAACCAAACCAAAAACCACTCAGACTGTGTTCTTTCCCTCTTACTCTCCCGGAAGAAGAGAAGAACGATCATCAACGGTAAATGGCACTTGCACTAATGCAACACCAAAAACCAACTTCACGCTCAGGAAAGAACACTACACCTCCTCCTCGTGGAGTGAGGAGCAATTAAAAGCCAGCCACACAGCCTGCTCCTCAGTAGAAATGAATGTCCTAATTGACCTGTTTCTGTCTTAACCAGCAACACTACTAGAACAACACTTATTTACCCTTAATTTTGTAAATTTAAATGATAAATTTCAATCAGCTATAAAAGAAGGCCCATGAATTAAAGAGCAACTAAAAGCTAAGTATGTAGAACCACACATCCTTTGAAGAAAAACTTTAAGCTAAATTAAATATTTGTTGAATTAAAAAGTAAAAATGTTATGCCCATTCTCAAAAAGTAAAATAATAATAATTGTATGTAAATGTGGTGAAAACATATGCATGAAAGACTTATTAGAGAGTCTTTGCTCTGCTAGTAAGACATTGTTTTCTGAACAGTTTGCCAGTTAAAAGCCCATAAACTTGATCAGCCTGAAAACTCTATTGCAGAGTGTAAGCTATTCTGCCTGAGGCTTTAAGCACATGGTTAAAATATATTCTTTGAGTCTCTGCTTCCAGAAAAAGTTTCAGATTTTCTTTTAAACTTCGTATTACCAATTTCAGCTTGCCTTTTTTTAATTTTTAATTTTTTTAACAAATATTTAAATATTTTATTGCCATTAAGTTACAGCATCTCAATATACACACTGCATGGAAACACACCGATAACATTTTTAAACAGTGGGGACAAGATTTTAGGCATGTGGCCAGCTGGTGGTTGTCTTGTGGTCATTAAAGACGATGTCAAGTCGGAGGACTTAAGTACTAGTAGTTAAACATTTTGTTCTCTTCAGTTTTTCATTAAGTGATTTCTAATAGATAATATACATGTGACTGCAGATGGAACCATCATCAGAAATTATTAAATTGCATATTTTGAGCTACTCTTTATGGAAAGAAGTAAAATATTTAGTACTTGTAAGGCAGCAGAGAGTTAGAGACTCAGCTATTTCTATAAAAATCGAATGGCTGGTAAAAATAGCATTCAGCGTATTTTCCTTAGTGAGGCTGCTTATAATGAAATCTGTGACTCAGCAGCAGCTGGCAATGCTGTCCCTTCAAGAGCTTGCTCTTCATTTTCCATTGTTATGCAGATGCCTTTTTACTCATCTCATGTTTGATAAGCCGCCCTCCCTGGATGAGCTGGGCTACTTCATTTGTTTCCTGGCATGCAAGCAGAAGCCAGTTCCGAGGCTGGACCTTGTAGGCAAATCTCAGGAATGTCAAAGAATAGCAACAGAGGGCAAATGTCATCCACCCACTGATAATCTCTGGAGACTTTTTCATGTCATTGATGGCAGCAATGGGAAGACCCCAGTTGGCTACTGGGCCCCAGAAGTGCCTACTCATGAGGTAGTCCCTTAAATCCTTGCTTTGGACATAGTCGGCCACTGGCACAACCAGACACCAGACCCCAAGTCATCCGTGCCACTACAGCCACTTCCCAAAGACAGAAACTCGGACCAAAGCCGCGATGGCTGGCCGAGGGCGCCCTAGCTGTGGGCCCCTAAATTTCTTTCTTTTTTTTTTTTTTTTTTTTTAGAGACAGGGTTTCACCATATTGGTCAGGCTGGTCTCGAACTTCGAACCTCGGGTGATCCACCTGCCTTGGCCTCCCAAAGTGCTAGGATTACAGGCATGAGCCACCAAGCCCAGCCCCAGCTTGCCATTTGAATGATTAATGAAGTTATAATCCTGATATCATCAAGATTCCTTTAAGAAAAGAGCAATTCAAAGCAGTTTTGCCTTTCTCCATACCTAATGCTTTAGCAGTTTTTTACAATAGTGGAAGTCACTTACACTCCCACCAGCAGTGTTGGAAGTACTTCCCTTCCTCTGCAACTTTCCAAGGATCTATTACTGCCTTTTTAACAATGACCGTTCTGACTGGTGTGCGACAGTATCTCATTGAGTGTTTTCTTTTATATTTCTCTAATAATTAGTGATAGGCATTTTTAAAATATGCTTGTTAGCCCCATATATGCCTTGTTTTGAAAAGCATCTGTTTAGCTATGGATGGTGGCTCATACCTGTTATACCAGCATTTTGGGAGGTTAAGGCAAGTGGATCATTTGAGGCTAAGAGTTCGAGACCATCCTGGCCAACATGACAAAATTCTGTCTCTACTGAAAGTACAATAATTAGCGAGGCATGGTGGTACACACCTGTAGTCCCAGCTACTAGAGAGGTTGAGGCATGAGAATCACTTAAAACCAGAGCTGGAGGGATCAGTGAGCCGAGATCATGCCACTGCACTCCAGCTTAGGTAACAGAGCAAGACTCTGTTTCAAAAAAAGAAACATCTGTTTATGTCCTTTGCCTACTTTTTTTTTTTTTTTGAGACGGAGTTTCGCTCTTGTTACCCAGGCTGGAGTGCAATGGCGTGATCTCGGCTCACTGCAACCTCCGCCTCCTGGGTTCAGGCAATTCTCCTGCCTCAGCCTCCTGAGTAGCTGGGATTACAGGAATGAGCCACTGCGTCCGGGCCCCTTTGCCTACTTTTTAATGAGGTTTTTGTTTTTTTCTTGTAAATTTGTTTAAGTTTCTAATGAATTCTGGACATTAGACTTTGTCAGAAGCATAGTTTGCAGATATTTTCTTTTATTCTGTAGATTGTTTACTTTGTTGATAGTTTCTTTTGCTTTTAGTTTAATTAGGTCCCATTTGTCAATTTTTGCTTTTGTTACAATTGCTTTTGGTATCTTCAACTTAAAATCTTTGTCAGTTCCTATGTCTCAAATAGTAGGAATTCCTAGGTTATTTATCTTTTAGGGTTTAAAAAATAATAATTTTATATTTTACATTTAAGTTTTTACTTCATCTTGAGTCTATTTTTATATATGATATAAAGAAGGGGTTCAGTTTCCATTTTCTACAGAGTGGTGGGTAGTTATTCCAGCACCATTCATTGAATAGGGAATTCTTCTCACATGCCTCTCATCGGCTTTGCCAAAAATCAGGTGGTTGTTTGCATATGGCAGTATTTCTGGCTTTCTATTTTGTTGTATTTGTCTATCAGTCTTTTTTTCGTACCAGTATTATAGTGCTTTGGTTAATGTAGTCTCATAATTTAGTTTGAAGTCAAGTAATGTAATGCCTCCAGCTTTGTTATTTTTGGTTAGGATTGCCTTGGCAACTTGTGTCTCTGTCTATTTGGCATCTATAGTTCTCTACAGTCACTTCAAGAGAGACTAGATCAGATTTCTACAAACCTTATAGGCCAGCAATCAGCCGTTTTCCCCATTGTTTCTCTTTCAATGACTCTTTTTTACTCTTTTCTTTCTTTCCTTTTTTTTTTTTTTTTTTGAGATGGAGTCTTGCTCTATTGCCCTGGCTGGAGTGCAGTGGTGGGTTCTTAGCTCACTGCAACCTCTGCCCCCCGGGTTCAAGTAATTCTCCTGCCTCAGCCTCCCAAGTAGCTGGTACTACAGGCACATACCACCACACCTGGCTAATTTTATGTATTTGTAGTAGAGACAAAGTTTCACCACATTAACCAGGCTGGTCTCAAACTCCTGAGCTCAGGTAATCTGCCTGACTCATCCTCACGTACTGCTGGTATTACCAGTGTGAGCCACTGTGCCTGACCTCAGTGACTCATATTGTCAGACCTGAAACCGACTCAGAGACTATGGGACCCAGAAACCCAATCAGAGTAACATGTGAATTGAGTAGACATGTAGACATGAGAGTTTTCACTTTCTTTTTTCTCCTCTTGCTAAAATGTTCACAAATGTGCAAGTAACACCTGCTGCTACTCCACTCATCCAGAACTGAAATCTACAGCTCCAGCTTCTGAATCTAGATCTTGAGATGTGGAAAAAAAGTAAACCATTTGTGTAAGAAATGCAAGTCATTTTCTTTATAAGGCTCAGAGAGACTTTTTTTTTTTTTTTTTTTTTTGAGATGGAGTTTCGCTCTTGTTACCCAGGCTGGAGTGCAATGGCGCGATCTCGGCTCACTGCAACCTCTGCCTCCTGGGTTCAGGCAATTCTCCTGCCTCAGCCTCCTGAATAGCTGGGATTACAGGCACGCGCCACCATGCCCAGCTAATTTTTTCGTATTTTTAGTAGAGACGGGGTTTCACCATGTTGACCAGGATGGTCTCGATCTCTTGACCTCGTGATCCACCCGCCTCTGCCTCCCAAAGTGCTGGGATTACAGGCTTGAGCCACCACGCCCGGCCCCAGAGAGACATTAAACTGAGACCACAATTATGTCTTTCTTGTTTCTTTTAGCTATGTATTTATCTCTTGAAATTACTATTGCCACAAGTATCTGTAAATTGAACTAATGCCACGCTGGACACTGTAACCCACACGCCATAGCCTATCATTGTATATCCAATCAGTAATCAATTTATTTTGTAAATAAATAAAAATTTTTGACAAACAACTTTGTACCAACCCACTCTATGTCCCTCTCTTTTTGCTTTACAAATCCACTTGTAACTGCTGTAATAAAAGTGTATGTTTCTGGCAAGTGGAATATATGCGCCCAGATTATAATCCTCAATTTATTTGGCCCAAATTAATTGTTTACTTAGATTCATGTTGCCTCAGCTATTTCCTTTCAGGTAAACATATCATTTGAAATGGGCCAGAGCAGCCTCTGTGAGGGAATCCCTCCTTAGATTGTACTTTGCTTTCTGCAACACCTGAGGATGCGGAGTCAGGGTGATCCCACCTAGAATCTGCACATAAGATCTGGCCTCTGCCTGGGTTTACAAGACAGGGCCAGATTTTGAATTGAGAATGTGCTGAACACCAATAGAAGGTGTTTTCTGCGTTTTGAGATGTCAGCATAGACATTCTACAGCTCCCCTTTGAGAGTGTGGCCCTTCGAGCTTCTCAGATTTTGTCCAGTTGCAGGTCGGCCACAGTTAGATGAGAGTCTTCAGGCGTAAAGCTAATCTGATGGTAAATGCTGTAAATGTAAATAAACATCTCAGGAGTAGAGATCAAGGCCACAAAGTATCCAGAGCCATGACCACAACTATATCTACCTGTAAAATGTTATGTACAATCTTCTTGTCCTTCTTAACCAAATCTAGTTAATCAGAGCAAGTAATTCTGGAGTTTAACCAGGGCAGTTCCATTTTCTATTTAGAATTAGCATGGCTCTCTCTAGCCTGGCTTACTGGACCACTAGCCCAGGGCCACTGGGAACCCTCTTACAATTATGTAGGCATCTTTGAGACATTTGAGGATGTCCAGCGCAGAATTGTCAGACTGACAAGAGTGGTTAATTCTGCTTTTGTCTCAGTGTAAGAGAAATGAGTCATCCTGTGTTTGTTTCTTCCCTTATACAAGGGATGTTTTTGGTTGGTAACCAGATAAGAGTTTCTCCAGTTTTCTGGTATTTGGGTAAAAACAAGTGTTGTACCCGAGCAAGTTAAGGAAATGTGCCACCCTCTGAGATTGAATTATGAGTCCTTTATTTAGCCGGCGACCAAGAGGTGGCTAACGCCTAAAATTCTCTCAACCCCGAAGAAAAAGTTAGGTGGTTTCTTATACCCTAGTTTGAAAAGGGGAAGGGGATTCTAGCTGAAGCAATTTTCTCACAGAAGCTGAGCAAGCAAAAAAGTTAGAAGATAAACTAGTACATGAGAAATAAAACAGTGCCAGGTGCAAGGGGTAAAACTGTCATAAAAGACATACAACTTATAGATGAATCGGGGCTCTGGGCACTCAACAACACCCACATTCCCAGGCTCTGCTGGTACCAGTTAACTCAGCCTCTTATCAGCAGTTGCATTCCTGGATGTGCCCAGTGTCATCCTGCCCCAGCTACATGCTCCAGTTGCATACTTAACGGGGAGTCAGGAGTAACTATGAGTGAGAAAGTTAAAACGAAGTCAGTCCGGCTAATTCTCAGTACGTAAGAATTAGTTGATTAGGCTAACACAGGGTAGGTTAACACACAAGGAGATCTGGAGACTCAAGCAAATAAATTAATGCTGTAATTTTTTCTTTTTCTTTTCTTTTATTTATTTATTTTTTTTTGAGACGGAGTTTCACTGTTGTTACCCAGACTGGAGTGCAATGGCATGATCTCGGCTCACTGCAAACTCCGCCTTCTGGGTTCAAGCAATTCTCCTGCCTCAGCCTCCCGAGTAGCTGGGGTTACAGGCATGCGCCACCATGCCCAACTAATTTTTGTATTTTTAGTAGAGACAGGGTTTCACCTTGCTGACCAGTATGGTCTCAATCTCTTGACCTCGTGATCCACTTTTTTTTTGGAGAGAGTTTTGCTCTGTTGCTCAGACCAGAGCACAGTGACACAATCTCAGCTCACTGCAATCTCCTCCTCCCAGATTCTAGTGAGTTTCTTGCCTCAGCCTCCTAAGTAGCTGGGATTATAGGAACATGCCACCATGCCTGGCTA